TAAAGATTTCTTTGGCATTTTCAACAAGACAGCGGACCACAGAGTGGAAAAAGTGGAACAAAACTGTATTGTGACCTTAATTAGGACAAAAGAAGCAGAAAACAAACACCAACAACTTGATGATTGTCATATGGTTCAGAACATGACTGATACGGAAAAAATGTTAATTTAGGGCTCAAAGATGGATAAAAGGAACAACTTTATACAAGTTAGAGTTCTCAAATCTGGTTCTCATCTCTTTTGAGATTCATGTGATGGAGGTCCTGATGTTGTCCAAGATATTTTGACAAAAAGCATTCGAGAATGCTTTGGGAGACTTGAGTGATAATTGCCAGATCTAGCTACATGTGTAGACTGACAGAGAACTGGAACAGAAATCAGAGTGGCAGGCTCAAATTTGTCATTAATGAAAATCTTTTCTAAGTGTTGAATTATTCAGTTTAACATTTCTTCAACCCATAAGAATTCCTTCATTCCATCTTTTTCCCATAAGAGATCATACATTTTGTCTCTAACTCTGCCACTAATTAACTCTATGACCATGGACAAAATCACATATGCTTCTTGAGTTTCTGTATTCATATTTGTAAACTGAACAAGCGTGGCACTAGATAAACTCTAAACTCTCTTCCATCACTAACATTCTATATGCTATTGAAAAAAACAATTATCTTGAAGATTAAAGAAAGAATAAATTCACACATTTTACTCAGTGAAGAAGTATTACTTAAATATATGAGATAAAATGAAGTCATAAGAGAGAGCAACTTGTCCCTTGGGAGAATCAATTAGGGATTTGATTAGATACTGGTTAGAGAAATCTCTTCAGCAAGAAATCATGCCCAGCAGCAAGAACTCAAGAGAACGGCAACAGAATTGATATTCCTCGATCCCAATTTTACCATGTAGAATTGTACTCTTCTATGTACTCTCTGGCAAGAGCCATATTTTATAGCTGAGTTTTACATTCCTAAATATGGAGAAAATGGAAGGAAATGCTGGCATGATGTCTCAGATCAGCCTTTGCCAGACCCTTCTGCTTCTCTAGGCATGGCTCTTATCTTATCTCTTGTCACTTTTGACCACATATGTTATATTTTATTATCACAGAACTGCTTCCAGTTCTTTTGCATGTGTGTGCACCCAAACAGAGAAACACACACACCACCACCACGACCACCACCACTATTCTGTTTCCCAGATTCTGTGCCTTTGGCCTTTTTCTCCTTCTCCTTTCACCTTGACAACCTCCCACACATCTTTTGTTCACTGAACTAGTACAGATGTCATCTACTGCGAGAAGCAAAAGCCAGGTTTTGTCAGGATTTCTTCACTCTGTTTTCATATACCATGTACATATCTTTTTCGCTTATCGTGTTGCATGTTAATTATCTGTTTTACATCTATCTTGCCCCACTAAATTTCAAGCTCCTTAAAGTCAGCAGTCACATTATTTAGTTTTAAAATCTCAATTTTTCTTTTCTTTCTTTCTTTCTTTTTTTTTGCTGAGGAAGATTAGCCCTGAACTAACATCTGTGCCAGTCTTCCTCCTCTTTATATGTGGGTCACTGCCACAGCATGGCTGACAAATGATGTGGATCTGTGTCTTGGATCCAGAAACCCGGGCTGCCAAAGTGGAGTGCAGTGACCTTAACCACTACACCACAGGGCTGGCCCCTGAAATCTCAATTTTTAATATATCCTGGCACATATTAGGTGCTCAAGTTATTTATTGAATGAATGAATTTAAGATGTGAATAAATTAATTCTAATATTTACTAACTCACAGTTACTATGTATTTGTCCATGTGTTTATCTCATTTGATTGAGACAATTTGTACATGTCTATAAAACACCATCAATATATAGCACATCTGATCCACATTAAGTTATTATTTATGCAATCCAAATGAATCCATGATTCAGTTTCTGCAAGAATTTCAATCAAGGAAGTAGAGTCCAAATTTTCAAAAGTAATAGGGAATCTTTAGTCTCTTGAAGAAGGTTCAAAAGCATTCAAGTCACAAGCCCTACTAACTCTCCATATATTTTCCTTCATTTCCTCACATCTCAAATTGTTCTAGTCTACTGAACTCTCCTAAAATAGTCCTTCAACAAACGTCTCTGGGCACTTGTCTTTATCCCCAGTCCTCATTTCTTTTTTCTTTAGATTGTTACCTGGCGAGAGAGAATCCTTCTTGTTTAATAAGGTAGGGGGAGGGGACAACAGAGCAACCGACACTAGCTTCTCCTTAGCAGATGGAGGCAGGGCGTGTTATGGACCATCGCATGCTCAGTTGCTGTCCGAGCACAGATATGTGTGTGTTTGAATATGACATTCTCTCTCTGGATTATTGGTCAATTACTCTTTTATGTTGTTATGAAGAAGACATCTTGATGTGAATGTACCCCTCACCTCAGGTGATTGCATCCTCTCTTAAAAAAAAACAAAACAAAACCCTGAACATGTAGCCCTTTCAACCATAACTGTATTGCAAGTGAGTTTAAAGCAGCCCTCTTGGTTTATTGGAAGGAAAAAGCTTGGTCTCAGTTCTTTGCTTCCTTTCTCTGTAGTTTGTTTGTGGTTAGGGTCTATGTACTTGGCGCTTTATACATCAGCCACAGCTGTATGCTGAAGCTCCAAAGAAAAACTTCTCTCAAAATAGTTTTGCTGCAAAGAGAAAATGGCATTTATGAACTTTGGCAGGAACCGTACTCTTGAGCCGTGTTCAATTCTGCAAGTTGAATGGAAAAATCCACTGCACGGAGAAGCCAGCCACACAGGACCCTGACCTGAGTCTATTGTTAGAAGAAGAAAGAGGTGCCAGCAATGCAAAGCTCAGGGGGCCTCTGAGAGCCAGTGTACACTGTGTCCGGCAGGGGGCCTGGACAAGGCCCACTTAGACAGCGACGTTGCCACGGCATTACACATGCTCAGGAAGAGGCAAAACAGAAAACCTGTCACTTGGCAAAGCATCTTTACATAACCAGAGTTGGCTTTGCATTAGCTTACTTAGATGATGGTTTCACAAATTTTCAAAAGTAACCTCATTGTGCTCATTCACTCATTACATCGCAATCTTCCTATAATTTGGAAGTCTTTCATAGTTTGGAGTGGAAGGTCCTGCCTCAGTCAGTCCTTGAGGGCAGTGCCTTATCATCCTAGTCCCCTCCCTTATATGGTCGGTCAGTGTTTCTGTGTTCTCATTACTGTCCTGGGGTGGGGCTTAGTTCTCTGTGTCCAGGCTAGTCAGCCAGCCACGTCTGAATCACAGTAGCTCGTTCAAATCCTTCTGCTCTGGTGGCAGTCACAGGTGTTACAAGAGTGTCTGGTCTCATCAGTAGTTATTTCTCAATAACTCAGTATCATGCTAAATTGCCCCACCACAACTGGGCAGTCTTCTATTTTCACGTGCAGCCACTTCTCTAGTATATGAGGCTGCTCCACTGTGCCAGAGCTGAGATGAGCATTCAAGTCTGTCACAATTCTGGCCTCCAGAGATTCTGAATGCAGTAAAGAGGGCCACTGTGACACTCGGGTACTGCTTTTAGGCCAAATAACCTCTCACAGAAACCAGAAGCTGTCCTGAAAATTTTCTCCAAAGCCTTTCTATGACAGTCATTTTCTTTCTTTTTTTTTTTTTTTTTTTGAGGAAGATTAGCCCTGAGCCAACTACTGCCAATCCTCCTCTTTTTGTTGAGGAAGACTGGCCCTGAGCTAACATCCGTGCCCATCTTCCTCTACTTTATATGTGGGATGCCTACCACAGCATGGCTTTTGCCAAGCGGTGCCATGTCCACACCCAGGATCCGAACCAGCGAACCCCGGGCCGCTGAGAAGCAGAATGTGCGAACTTAACCGCTGCGCCACTGGGCCGGCCCCCTATGACAGCCATTTTCAAGGGATGCGTGTCCCAATAGACCTGAGTCAATTTATTGAGTAACTCTTTTAGTTTCTTATGAAAACTATTGCTTTTGGAATGTTGCACAGGATGAATTCTAAGCACCCCGTCTCGTGGCCCCAGACATTTTGTAGCTCTTCTTCAAGCCACTGCCAGCTGGCGTAGTTCCTCAGCACTTTCTCTCCACTCATGGTGATTTATTTTTCCAAGAGATTTTTTCTTTCCATGTCACTTGGTCTGAGTTGGAGCTACCCCAGGTCACCATGATAGATGTCCCCAGGCCCAAATATCTGGAAGAAGAGGTCAGGGAATCTATCTGAGACCGTCCTTCATGGAAGGCACCTAGATTTGTGAAAATCTCTGCTTTTCATCTCTGAACTCTTCGTAGCAAGAGGAATGTTGATTCCATAAGTCAGATTGAAGGCCCTGTCTCATCATTTCTCCCCCAGAGGGCTAATCAAGGGGCCACTCAGGGGTTCAAGACAGACAAGTGGCTGCTTCTTCTGCTTGAGGTGAAAAGAATCTTAAATCATTTAAATATAGGGCACGCAGCTATATATAAAGGTGTTTTATGATGCTTCACAAAAAGTAAAAGGTCAGTTAGATCTAAATAGTCCTTTATACTGGGAACTGGTATCATGGGCTTTGAAAGCTATTCAAGACTCTTTTCAGGGAGGCTCTGAAAATGGCACAAAATCTTACCAGTCTGGGAGAGGTTAGCAGGATTCTGTTATAGGGCAAGTGAATGAGGGAAATAGCAACTCTGGGTCCTTGTAATCAAGTGTCTTGTTCGCTTTTTAAAGACTGGCTCTAATTTCTTAGGCTTGTGTTCTGAGTCAGAAGGTTTTGGGAAGTGAGCTCTCAGGATTTGGATTCTGCTGCCTTATTTGGTCAGCAAGAAATATTGGCATATAAATGAGTCCTCCATCAGTTTGTGAGGAAATTTTAACCTCTGCACAACTGTAATTACTCCATCATTTATATGAGGTTCTGATCACCACCAAAATCAACAAATAGCAAGGTACTCTCGTGCCTTATAAGAGTTTAGTTATGTTTAGGATTATTACACAAAATTTATTGTTTGTTTTTATTCTGCAGCCTCCACCTCAGATATATGACAAACAGTTGGATGAAAGAGAACACACCATTGAAGAATGGAAAGGTGATTTTACCACTTAAATAAAGTATACTTTTCACTTTATTGAAACTCAGAAAGTATCTTCAGAGCCAGCCCTCATGGCCTAGTGGGTAAAGTTCAGCACACTCCACTTAAGTGGCCTGGGTTCAACTCCCAGTCACAGAACCACACCACTTGTCTGTTGGTAGCCATGCTGTGGTGGTGGCTCACATAGAAGAACTAGAAGGACTTAGAACTAGAATATACTACTATGTACTGGGGTTTTGGAGAGGAAAACAAAAAGGAAGATTGGCAGCAGATGTTAGTTCAGGGCAAATCTTTCCCAGCAAAATAAAAAAAGAAAAGAGTTGCTGTTTAGAAAAAAAAAAAAAAGAAAGAAAGTATCTTCAAGGCGTTTCCTTTTAAAACAATTTAGTAACAGATGATTTCCTAATTGCTATCTTCTTGGGCCATTTTCAAAGCTCCTAAAACTTCATCTATCTTTTCGTACCAGCAACAATATTACACTTACTCAAGAATGAAAGCAATTAATTTCTGACACTTTTTGAAATAGTACTGATTGTCAAAGTATTTGTCCTTGTGGAGGGCAAGCTTCAATTCAAAATTTCAGAATTAAACATTCCATGTTTGTGCATAAAATTATCATATAAAATTAAAAGTATGCTTGAGAAGGTTTTAGACATTAGAAAATAAAAGATAGTCGATATATTAATTCATTCACTGTATTTATAGGACTTGAGAATTTGAATAGAAAATGCTTGTACCTAAGTAGCTTGTTTCTCCTTTAAAGTAAGAAAAGAATGAATACATTAATTCATTTTTTTCAGCAAAACTTTTCCAAATACATACTGCATGATCAAGATGATACTCAGGGTGAAAGAAAGCAGAAACTATAAAGAATTGTTAAACTAATATAAATAATGACAGAGTAGAATAAATATGAGAAAACCAAATGCAGATCATAACAAATGATTAGGTCAAAATGAGGAGAAACATAAAGGGAAGATCTGAAGGGAAGAAATGTTTGTGCTACCTTGAAGGAATTATCATTTGTAAATTGAGAAAAAAACAGAGAAACAGGAAAATACCAGAATGGGGACATAAGAGGAAAACAAAATGTAGGAATGAGCAAAAGGTGTTATAAAGTTAATAAAGAGATTCCACTGCCGTGTGGAGAGGGGCTGTGTTGGAGAATATGGGAAAATGAACACTTATAAACAGGGGATCAAGTAAAAAAAGATGCTGAATGATAGATGGAAAAGTCTTGATTTGATCTAAATAAGGACCAGAAGGTGCTCTTAGGGGGTCGTGGGTAGGAAAGTGATAGCATGTAAATATCGCTTGAGGAGAACAGACATGGACTCAATTATGAGAAACTGGAGAAAGAAATGCCTCTAGAGGATGATTATATACATTGTAAGCCATTACAAAGCAAGAATGAGGAGCGCTGAATGATTTCTAGCTGAAAGGGGCAAACGAAAAAGAAATGAAGATATACAAGTTTCACTCTAGCAATGAAAAAGCCAAAAATGGGTGCCAATTTCAGAATAAATGTAATAATTTTTTAACGTTGGGTTTTAGACAAGTTTAGTTTTACAAATCCAAGATTTGAGTCTGGAAAAAAGATGAAGTAAGAGTTGGAATATTGATGGAAAGTAATAAAGTCGTGATAATATGTGCATCTCTTAGGGCGTGAATATAAAAGAAAAATGGATGTTCAAAACTGAGCCATTAAAATCCTTTAAAGGTAAAGTTAGAATGAATCAGAAACCCCCACAAGAATTCAGAAAACAAGTAAAATCTGTATTCTTCATACGTTCATTTGATCAAATGCTTTATTGAGCATCTGCTTTTGCCAGGCTCTTTGCTATTGCAAGAAAATGTAGAAATAGAGGAATAAAGGAATCCCAACTGATTTTTAATTTACTCGACCCTATCAAAATGTTATTATTGGCCACTAGCTAATGGATTTTCTCTGTGGATTACACAGTAATTTGTTTTCTATAACACTGATAACTGTTTCTTACAGAACTTATCTACAAGGAAGTAATGAATTCAGAAGAGAAGACTAAAAATGGTGTTGTAAAAGGACAACCTTCTCCTTCAGGTACTCACTCTCAGTGAATAACCAATAAACCAGTACTCTTGTATTTTTCTTCACCTTGAGGAGGGGTTGCAGCCAATGACGCTGCTGGTAGGGCACGTGAACGGATATCTCATGACAGTTTCCCTCAATTGATTTTAGTTTTATTCTGTTTGATGTTTAGCATGGCATTCATTCTGATTATTCTGATTATGAAGATCGAGCACAAAACATCTTTCAGAACTTATTTTAAGATAATAATGAGTCTTGAACAAATGTTAACATGGACTTGTTCTGGGCAACTACTCCTTGTCAAAATTCAGAGCCATAGTACGCTCTTGACCACCAAGTCAATGTGGAGGTCAGGAATCCCTCCAGCCAAAACATCTCCCCTTATTCACTCCAGTGTTTGAACTCTTCCCAAGGTTGATGTAACGGTTGTTGAAGCATCAACCAAGATGAGCTCCAATTAAAGTCAGCATGGAAAATCTTTCAGTCTACAGGATCTGACACACATTTGTACATGTACATATTTTGCTGATTCTAGTAATGTGCTTTAGGATTATTTGAGATAATTTACTTACACTTATTAATGCTAATATATTTTTCCAGAGACCTATGTTCTGAATATAAAGAGAATAAATAAAGAGTTTTAGAAAATGTGATGGCTTCTCTTCAGCATTAAACTACACTTAGCTCATGCTGTTAAGAATGTAAGCTGCAAATGATTAGTTTAGAGGAAAATGGATTTGGTATCCTACCTTTGATAAACATTTATTTCCCATGTACTTTAAATTGTTTCAGGAAAAAAGATGTGGAATGAATCCATCAATTCTTCATAGTGATACTACTCTTTGAATAACTAGTTTGCATCCACAACCACTATGATACTCAAACAGACGCAATTCAGTCATGACATGTTTTCCTCACCCCTGGACTTGAAGAAATGTCCATTTCTATCCCAAGTCTTTCCTCTCTTCGAAGAGTGTTAAGGGAATCATTGATTGCCTTGTCCACCCTGTTAATTCGTCCTAGCATCCAGATTGATGCAAGTCTGCAGAAGCTGGTCTAACTCACCTGCGTGTTCTATTTGCTGCTGCTTAAAGAACCCGAGGACTGAATCCAACAGCCTCAAGATGCTACCTGCTAAGACAGAAAGACTTCTTGTCTTAAGAATTCCCATAATGGCCAGAACATATTTTCTTGTAATCATCAAGAAGCTGAAATACCAGGATCCAGCGGAGGGTGACCTAGCACCTCAGGCTGACATCGGATAAATTTTAGCAGAGTCTCTTCTACTCATCTTTAGTTCAAGTTATCATTAATTAATTTCCTTTCCTTTTTTCAAAGAGCTCAGAATCATGCCAGCATATCCCATTTTCTTCTTGTTTCCTCCTCCATTTTCTCCTCAGCCCTAACCAAGTCTCTGCACAGCTAATCTGTGAGGACATAAAATCTACAATTCTCTTTTCAATACTTTCACAATGCTTCTACAAAAATCTTCTTATTCCCATGATTCATTTTATGCAAACTGTATGGCTCAGGGAAGGCAAAATGGGACTGGGGATGGTACAAGTGAGATTAATTAATCATTAAAGTGTTGGAATGGGTAGTCTGCCATATGAAGAAAGATTTAAATATTTGGTAAAGGAACAAAGTTTGCATATAATCAAGGCATAATTCTTTAATCATTAAAACCATAATTCTTATGCAAAAAGAAACTGAGAACATGTAGAAGTTTCTTTTAATCCGTTAATGAAGGAAATGGCAGAATGACAAAGGTAGTTCAATGAAGATATGAAAAATGAGGATTTATGTAGTCTGTGGAAAAAAGCATACTGAAATCAGATCATTAAATTAAATCAAAACTTGTAAATGCTCTTTAGGGCAACCAAACCTATCTTTGTGGTTATCTTTTCTACTAGGCAGCAAAAAACATTATTTTACTTTATCAGTTTTCTGCAAGTTTACAGTGTTGTAAAGTATCTGGACCCTAATCAACTGTGCACATTAAATCAAATGAAGTTATGTTCCACAGAACAGTTAGATGACCCTTCGGTGGGCTTGTTAGAAAATGTTCAAGCATGATATTAAAAAGTTGTATAGTCATTTTTTTGCCCTAACACAAGTGTTGGATAATTTTCTTGAATAGTGTTGAAGGTTATTGATATATACAATTTCTGCACACTATGAATAGGCAGACACCAGTCTTGACCAAGCAAATCTTTTTAAGTTTGCAAGAAATACATTTAAGGTGAATAAAGCCAAAGCCTACTTTACATAGAGTTTGTTATTTCTGGAGGGGCTGGAAAATAAGTGAATTCCACTAAGTTATTTAATGATGGATATAACCTAGTCTTAGAGAAATTAGAATATTGGGCCAGGATGTATGAGATTGTTGCCAATTCAGATTCAATTTGTTCAAAATCAAATACATCTGCTCTATTTAGATTCATCCACCCAGCAGTAAATTTTTCTCTCAATTTTCCCATTTTGGTTAATGGCAGCTCTATTTTCTCGGCCTCCCAGCCTGAAACCCCTGATTGATCTTTTACTCCATACTTAGATTGTCACTCACAGTCACTTTCTACATCATAAAAATGATGCTTGCTAGATGTCTTACATCTAATTGTTACCATCCCTTTCCATTAACACCACTGTGATTGGAGTTTTCCTAAAGTAATCTTCCTGACTTCAGTCTCTACCTGAATTGATCTTTCAAAACTATAGGTTTGATCAAGAATTCCACTGATCAGTGCTCTCCAGTGGCTTTGCATCACTTACAGTTTAAACTTAGTGACCTCTTTCTGACTTTCACGGCCCTCTGTAACATACCCCAGGTTTTTCTACCTTTCACACTATACCATTTCTAGGGTCCTACATTACCACTGTCTTACTTGACTGGCTCTCCACCTTTGGAATGCTGCCCATTCTAAAGTGTTCTCTTGTCAGTGCCACCTTGTCCAAAGTATTTTTCATATCTGTCCCAAAAGACTTTTCAGATCTTCCCAAAGAATAGGATCTTTCCTTCCTATGGATCCTACTAGTCCCTGTATTTTAAATATTGTCTTATTACCCCTTATTGATTGTAAATTCGTTAAGAAGGGAGAATACACATATTCGTCTTTGTGTCCTATGCAGTGCCTGAGTGCTGTGCCTGGCACATAATTGTGTCTTGATAAATATTTATTAATTTGAAAGTTGCTGTCCAAGTTCTCCCTCAGTGTATTTCTTGGTGCTATTCCAAAGACAGAATTCAAGACGGAATCATAGCTTTGACACAGTATGCAACTGAGTACGTTCTTACGCCAGTAACATCTATTCACCTTATTAATCTCCATGAAGGTAAAAGAGCCAAGCATCACGTATATGAATTGTTGCTATTGGCATTTGCTCGTGCTTCAGAGAAAGGTTTGCTGCTTTCAAGTAGTTATATGATTTATTCATTTTTGGAAATGTATAGTCCCAAGTTTTTTTTGCAGGCCTGTTTAGTTTAGCATATTAATGATTAATTCTGAAATATGCCACTTAGGCTTTACCTACATGTGAGAAGGCCAAACCACTTTTCAACCATTCCAACTACCTATAACAAACATAAATGATCTACCTTATACACATGCCCTAAACTTTAGTTGGCTGAGTTAACCAATTTATACATAAAATGATTGTGGGTTCAAACTTTCACTACATGATTTTAAAGGAAAATATTCATGGCTTAATTTTTTTTTATTAAGGTTATGAAAGTTAACATCCTTGTGAAATTACAGTTGTACATCATTATTAGTCATGTTGTAGGTACACCACTTCACCCCTAGTGCCCTCCCCCCACCCCCCTTTCCCCTGGCAACCACCGATCAGTTCTCTTTGTCCATATGTTAACTACCACCTATGAGTGGAGTCATACAGAGTTCGTCTTTCTCCGTCTGGCTTATTTCACTCAACATAATACCCTCAAGGTCTATCCATGTTGTTGTGAATGGGATGACTTTGTCATTTTTTATGGCTGAGTAGTATTCCATTGTATATATATATATATATATATATATATATATATATACCACATCTTCTTTATCCAATCATCAGTTGCTGGGCACTTAGGTTGGTTCCATGACTTGGCTATTGTGAATAATGCTGCGATGAACATAGGGGTGCATGGAACTTTTGGAATTGCTGATTTCAGGTTCTTAGGATAGATACCCAGTAGTGGGATGGCTGGGTCATAAGGTATTTCTATTCTTAACTTTTTGTGGAATCTCCATACTGTTTTCCATAGTGGCTGCACCAGTTTGCATTCCCACCAACAGTGTATGTGGGTTCCCTTTTCTCCACAGCCTCTCCAACATTTGCCACTCTTGGTTTTGGATATTTTTGCCATTCTAACAGGCGTAAGGTGATATCTTAGTGTAGTTTTGATTTGCATTTCCCTGATGATTAGTGATGATGAGCATCTTTTCATGTGTCTATTGGCCATCCGTATATCTTCTTTGGAGAAATGTCTGTTCATGTCCCCTGCCCATTTTGTAATTGGGTTGTTTGATTTTTTCTTGTTGAGTTGTGTGAGTTCTTTGTATATTATGGAGATTAACCCTTTGTCGGATAAATAACTTGTGAATATTTTTTCCCAATTAGTGGGCTGTTTCAATCCTGTTTTCCCTTGCCTTAAAGAAGCTCTTTAGTCTGATGAAGTCCTATTTGTTTATTCTTTCTATTGTTTCCCTCATGTGAGGGGTTATGGTGTCCGAAAAGGTTCTTTCGAAGCTGATGTCAAAGAGTGTACTGCCGATATTCTCTTCTAGAAGACTTATTGTTTCAGGCCTAATCTTTAGGTCTTTGATCCATTTTGAGTTTATTTTAGTGAATGGTGAAAAAGAATGGTTGATTTTCATTCTTTTACATCTGGCTGTCCAGTTTTCCCAGCACCATTTGTTGAAGAGACTTTCTTTCCTCCATTGCATGCCCTCAGCTCCTTTGTCAAAGATTAGCTGTCCATAGATGTGTGGTTTTATTTCTGGGCTTTCAATTCTGTTCCATTGATCTGTGCATCTGTTTTTGTACCAGTACCATGCTGTTTTGATTACTGTAGCTTTGTAGTATGTTTTGAAGTCAGGGATTGTAATGCCTCCAGCTTTGTTCTTCTTTCTCAGGATTGCTTTAGCAATTTGGGGTCTTTTTGTTGCATGGCTTAATTTTGAGAAATCGTACATGTACTATATAATGTATGACATTTTTATGTATGATATACTTGTATGTATTACGTAGAGGCATAGGACAGCCATGTGCTGGCACTGACTCTACCAGCTCCTAAGAGCCAGTTGTTGCCTCTCTCCCAAATACAAGTTTATTGACCTCATGTTGGTAGCTTGAAATCCACCGTGCAGGATTTAAGACATAGAAGTTGGCTAACTCTACAAATCAGGGCATTTTTTTTCCTCTGGAGAGCCAATTGTTAAATTTTTACTGGCACACCACTGTGTGTACGTGTCTGTGTGTTTGTGTGTGTGCATGCACAGTGTGTGCATTTGCAGTAAACTATGCTGGAAAGAAAAAACAATACTAAGAAAACTTTTCAAAGGTCAGCTTTTTTGCATTCTTGCTTATATTCGCCTTTTCTCGTTAATGTTTGCACATCCTCTTTTATTTTGTAAATAGCCAGGATGAAGTAATATTACAACATAGACTCCCTCAATATTCAGTCATGGCAATACTGGGAACTCTGCAGGCAGGGAGTAAGTTAATGCAGTTCTCAGTGAAAGTGGTTCTAATACCCAAACCCATGTTTTAGTGATGCTTTTAAAATGTGAATAGGAAGTTAAATGTACATTTGCAGAATAATAGATAGGTTTGAAATTTATTGATGGAATTGTTGTATATCAATAAGAAGTAAATCTAAACTTCAGATACATGTCTAAGTAAATAATTGTACTCCCTTCTGCTATCTGATTTCACTTGCCTAGTCATTTATTTTCAAGAATAGCTTGGCTACTTGCTTTCTGAATTGATTTGTAAAGACTGCTGAGGGAATAGCAGTCCATGAATAGAAATTAATTTTCTTCTAAAAGCACTTTTTATAGAATGTTAGAGCTAGAACAAATATAGGAAGTTATCTTATCCAAAGCTCTCAGCCTGTTCATCACCCTTATTCCACCTGAGAAGTAAACCTCCATAAGTAACAATGACCCACCAAGATAAAGATGCTCTGCGTCAGGATGGGCAGAGATTTTTCGGAACCTCTAAGTGGAAGATAAAGCTCCCCAACGTGATTTTAATATACAACCTCTGCCCCCACGGTGTTCCACACACCATCGGAGTGTATCCTTCCCAGTTAGAGTCACTGATCTAGTCCAATAATTTTATTATTATTTTTATTTAAAAACTTCTACCCTAAACAAATTAAGCATCAAGATCATGCAGAAAGAGAAGGGAATATATCTCAGTGATTTTTTTTTTTCATTCTAGTATTTCTTCTAGTTCTTTGTCTTTTTTTGTGTATGTGAATAGATCAGGGAAATAATTTCCCTAAAAAAGCAGAACAACATTTTCCCCTGAAATAATGAGTACTTTTTGATGAGGTAAGTTCTAGTTGAGAAATTTTCATGAGCATAAGCTACTTCTTTCCATGAAACCTAGCTTGTTTTTTTTTTCAGGTAAAGTTGAAAGTAGCTAGTATTCTTTATTTGCAACCCTATTAGTATTTTGAGATACTTTTAAAGCCATTTTTATTGACAAAAATTTGTAGTGCTTTATTGATGGCAAAACATTTTTTTAAAATGCATAGTCTATTAGTTTCTCTGGAAACAATATAGAAGGAAGGAATATATATTACATTGCTAGGATATCTTGGGCAAATGGCTGTTATAATTGAATTCAATTCAGTTCAATTCTGTTTGAGAGATTTTCACAAACTGTTTGGCAGTAAGTTAGCAACTTGAAGCCAAGGTCCATGTCTTGACCCTTCCACTTGTGTTTGATTTTTCTGGTTTACAAAGCTTATTTACACCCTACGTGAACACAGACTTGGAGGGTCATCCAGTGAAGCCAGAAGGAGCTACAGTCAAGAAGGCATTTCTATAGTGCAATAGAAGAAGTCATACAGAAACAAAGATTTTTTCGTGTCACAGTAGGGGACTGGTTAATGTTTAACGATAATCTCTTTTTTAAAAAAAGGACTGATTATAGCATTTACCAGTTTCTGTGGGGTAAATATTCTCTTTGTAACCACTTTCAAGCTACCATTGTGACATCAGTGAAGGCAGGGTTGGAAAGAGATCCTAATAATTGG